TCTCTCTCTCTCTCTCTCTCTCTCTCTCTCTTTCTTTCTCTCCCTCTCCTTGCACAAGCTAGCCTGGACCACAATCCTCCTGCTTACCCCTCCCACCTAGCTGTGATGACAGGCACACACCACCATGCCCAGCTTTTTTGTTGAGATGGGGTCTTCCTAATTTTTTGCTCCCACTGGCCTTGAAATGTTATCCTACCTATCTCTGGAGTAGCTGGAATTACAGGTGTGGGCCATAGAGCCTGGCTTTATGGCAGCTTCTAACACTTCCAGTACACTGCATTCTCTCTCAGTTCATTTCTTCATTATCTCCCTTGTGCCTCAGCCACTCTCCCTCCCTCCCTTTACTCCTTCCCCCTTCCTCCCTCCCTCTCATTCTTTCTGGGATTCTCTTGCCTTACCCTTCCAAATGTTTGGATTGCAGGCATTCATTTGTCCATTCCAAATGGCAGGGAATGGTTTTTTAAGTGCTGAAGATGTAACAGAAAAACAAAAAGTCCCTGTTCTTATGGAGAGAGCATTCTCCTGAAGGAGGTAGAAACAAAATATTACGTTAAGTGGCACTGTAAGTGCTATAAAGAAAACAAAAGCATGTTAAGAGGACAAAGGTGGGGTGGGTTTGGTGCCTCACACCTGTAATCCCAGCTCCTTGGGGAGGTGGAGATGGGGAGGATCATGATTTGAGGCTGGTCAGGACAAAAGTTAGCGAGACCACCATCTCAACTAACAAACCATGCATGGTGGTGTACTTACATAATCCCAGCTATGGGGTTAGGGAGGTTTGACCATAAGTAGGAGGATCATGGTCCCTGACTGGCTTGGGCAAAAAGCGTTAGCCCCTGTCTGAAAAATAACTAAAGCAAAAAGGGCTAGGGGCATGGATCAAGTGGTAGAGTGCCTACCTAGCAAGCACGAGTTCAAATCTGAATGTGGCCAAAAAAGATGGGAGTGATAGGGTGGAGGATTCTACATGATACTGTGCTCAGGGAAAGGTTCCCGTAAGATCAACTTAGCTTTTGCTTCCCTGCTAAGCTAATGTATGTGAGTGACCTAAGGTGAGATTCTTCACCTTGTGGAGCTGTTTCCTCATTTGTAAAACGAAAAGTTGAATGAATATTCGATGGTTTGATGTGTCTTAATTCCCCGTGCAAATGTGAGTGCTTTCCCAGGCCCGTGCAGGAAGGAAAGAAACTGGAGATAAGGCCTAGGAAGAGAGCTAGATATTTGGATGACGTTGAAGTGGAGAGGAAGAAACAAAGCCCGGCTCGCGGTCGAGCTCCGCCTCTCTAAGTCACTTTCAACTGGAGTTGAAGCTTCAACTGAGCATAAAATTCTTACGTCACTGGGATCTAGCCAATCACGGGTGCTAGGAGGGAGGTGTGGTTGAGCTTCAAGTACACCAATCACCATAAATTTAGGCGGAAACGAGGCCTCCTTGACCAATGAGAGAAGCCGTACGGCGGAAGTGCGGAAAGGAACTCTTGGGAAGATGGCATTCTTAGCCCGGCCACAAGCTGATTGGCAGATGTTCTGACCATAAGGTGGTCGTCATAGTACGAGAAGCCGTTCGGAGACGGAAGCCAGACGAGGCACGAGCCGAGATCAGGGAGGGATCGGAGATACAGGCACAAGTGTGCCAGACAGCAGGGAGGGCGAAGTGCAATTCCAGAGGTGGCAGTGGGAGGAGTCTGGCCGAAGAGACTGGGCGGGATCTTCGGAACGCCCGGAAGGGGAGGGGACTGGGGCGGAGCTTACGGAGATGGCGACCCAGGCTTGAAGTGAAGGCCGGGATTGGGAGCCAGGAGGGCAGGGTTTAGAGAGGTGGGCGTGACCATCGAGGTGAGGCTTGGGGGCGGTATCTGCAGGGACCTGGAAGCGGAGCTGGAAAGGCCAAGGGTTTGGGGGACCTGGGCTTGGGTCGCGGGTGTTACTTTTAGTGGTTTTCGGAAGCGGCGGCGGCATCAATCCAGGCCCTGCCCCGCGATCTCATCTTGTCCCCTTTTGCCCCTCGCGCCCCCAGCCCTAGACTCCAGACCCTGTTCCCTGAACTCTGCCCTCGGATGTCCGACCGCCCAGAGCCTGCATGCGCCGTGGGGCGCCCCAGGACCAGGAGCTGGTGGGTCCGGGGGTCCCTGGGCGTGGGTCCCGGGGTGCCCCTCCTCCCTCAAGACCCGTTGTCCCGGTGCTCGTCTTTCCCCCGGATCTAGTATTCAGGGCTGACCAAAGGAGCGGACCCCGGCAGCTGCTGACCCTCTATAACCCCACAGGAACTGCGCTTCGTTTCCGAGGTGAAGGGATGGGCGCCTTGTGCTGGGGATCTGGGGGCTAGCAACAGGACATCGGGGGGCTGTATGGGCTGCAGGAGTCGGGGGAGTAGGCCAGGATGCCCAGCCTTGAGACTGGAAGAGTTATATCCAGTCCTGGGGTAGAAGGCGGAAGGGATTGTAGTGTCCGACCCTAAGTAAGGCTTGGCTGGGGTCTCTTTGTGTGTCTTCCTCCCACAGTCCTGTGCACAGCACCTGCCAAATATACGGTGTTTGACGCAGAAGGATATGTGAAACCGCAGTCCTGCGTTGACATGTGAGTGAATTGGGAGGGTGGGGAGTGGTGATGGAAGCCACGGTTGGGACCCACTGCCCTCCTTAGGCTGTTTCCCCACCCTCTGTCGGCATCCCTAAGGGAAAGGCTTAGGGTGGGGGCACCTGGATTTCCTTGATTACTGCCTCTCACTCGTTTCTTCCCAACGGGCCTCTCTTTTATCTTGGAACCAGTGTAATTCGCCACGTGGCCCCCATTCCCAGTCATTTTGATGTCCAGGACCGTTTCCGAATTGAGCTGTCTGAGGAGGGGGCTGACGGCCGAGTGGTGGGTCGAAGGGACATCACCTCGGTTCTGAGGGCCCCAGCATACCCCCTAGAGCTTCAGGGACAGCCTGAGCCAACACTCCACCCAGAGCCTCCTTCCTGGACAGCACCACCCCCGGCCAGACACTTCCAAGAGAGTGAGTTGAGCCATGGAGAGAGTTGTGTTTCGTGGGAGGGAGGAACTAGATTTCCCTAAAGTTGAGCTAAGTCAGATTTAAAGAAGTCTTTTGCCTTTGTTGGAGACATTTCTAGTTGAAGTTTTATTTTACATCAGGGAAGAGGGGAAACTGCAATTTCCTTGGTGTCTGGCTTCTCTTTAGAGAAACGGTCTTTCTTAACTCTAACTGTAGTACTTCTTATCAGGTGCCAGCTAACTTCAGTTCAATAAGAAACCTATACTGCTGGGCGCTGGTGGCTCTCGCCTGTAATCCTAGCTACTCAGGAGGCAGAGATCAGGAGGATCTTGGTTTGAAGCCAGCCCCAGCAGGTAGTTCTCGAGACCCTATCTTGAAAAACCCTTTACAAAACTAGGGCTGGTGGAGTGGCTTAAGGTGAAGGCCCTGAGTTCAAGCTCCAGTATCACAAAAAAAAAAAAAGGAAAAAAGAAACTTATACTGAACAATTAACTTGAACTGAGTTGTATGCTGGGTGTGGGATGTAGAGATTCCTGCCTGTCAGGTGGGTGTACAGAAGACTGTAACAAAACCAGATGGAAGAGAGAATCTGAGGAGAGAGGGTTTCTTGTGGCTGTGGAGACAGAGGCTCTAGGGAGGAGGGGTACATGCCATGTGTCCACAGAAGGCAATGAACAGTAGATACAGACCAGCACCAGTGGCTTGTGACTGTCATCCTAGCTGCCCAAGAGGCAGAGATCAGGAGGATCAAGATTTGAAGCCAGCCCAGCCAAAAAGCAAGACCCTATCTCAAAAATACCCAACCGAAAGGCTGATGGAGTGGCTTAAGTGGTAGAGTGCCTGCTTAGCAAATGCAAGGCCCTGAGTTCAAACTCCAGTACCACCAAAAAAAAAAAGAAAGAAAAAAGCTAGGTATGTACATCTTCTGTGCTCAGTGTTCTCCATGGAGGATCCTGGGCTAGCCCAGAGTAGGGACAAGCACTTCTGATGAGCCTTGTTTCTTAGACCCCCGCCAGCAACTGGCCACCAGCTCTTTCCTCCTCTTCTTGCTGACGGGCATAGTCTCTGTGGCCTTCCTGCTGCTACCACTTCATGATGAACTTGACAGCCAGCTGCCTCAAGTCCTGCATGTTTCCCTGGGACAAAAGCTGGTGGCAGCCTATGTCTTAGGTGAGCACAGGAGTGGACCCAGGCCCACTTGCAGAGAAAGGGCAACAGGGGGCTGGGGAACGCTGCTTGTAAGGACTCACTCTTTCTTTCTCCACATGCAGGCCTCCTCACCATGGTGTTCCTCCGGACCTGAGCTCCCTACTCAACCCCATCCCCCCTCTCCTACCCGGCGTCCTGAGGTAGCCACTGTGATGCTCATACCTTGCCTCAACTCTCGTCTCCTTCCTGCCCACCCCCATACCCCTCACCCCAAGAAAATCACCCAGGGATTTGTACTCATTTTCCAAGTTGAATAAAATAAAGTTTTTCAATCAAAATGAGAAATGTAGGGTCTTTGTCGTAGCTTCTCACTTTTCTCTCTCTCTCTCTTTTTTTTTTTTTTTGGTGGCACTAGTGTTTGAACTCAGGGCCTCATGCTTGCTAGGCAGGCACTCTTACCACTTGAGCCACACCACCAGTCCTTTTTTGTAATGGTTATTTTATTTATTTACTGTGGTACTGGGGTTTGAACTCAGGACCTACACCTTGAGCCACTTCACCAGCCCTTTTATGTGATGTTTGTGAAGTATTTGTCTGGGCTGGCTTTGAACTGCGATCCTCCTGATCTCTGGCTCCTGAGTAACTTGGATTGTAGGCGTGAGCCACTGGCGCCCAGCAGATTCTTAAAATACCCTTTAGGGTTATTTAGGGTGTGGCTCAGTGGAAGATCACTTGCCTAGCATGCTTGAGGCCCTAAGCTCCACCTCTAGCACAAGGGGGTTGTGAGAGATTCCTTTTGGCCCTACAATAGGATCCTGCCCCTAAGCCATGCACCCAACCTAAAAAGAAACCAGAATGCCACCTAATCTTGCCTGCTGTGGACCCCAGGTCTCAGCATCTTGAGGTAATAGGGCCGTCTGCCATGGTTGCCCATATTCTTGGAATTCCCAGAATCCTTTTCTGCCTTCGTGACCCTTTATCTATTTTAATGTCTCTTCTTTAAGACTCCAGTTCCAGGCTGGTGGTGTGGCTCCAGTGGTAGAGCATCTGCTTACAAGCATGAGGTCTTGAATTGAAACCCCAGTCCCACCAAAAAATACAAAAAGACTCCAATTCACATGGATCACAACATCAAGGCCCCTGCCAGTTACTTGGGAGGCTAGCATGTCTGTAATCCCAGCTACTTGGGAGGCTGAGATTGGGAAGATCGAAGTTCAAGGTCAGCCCAGACAAATAGTTCACAAGACACCATCTCCAAAATAACCAGAGCAAAATGGATTGAAGGTGTGACTCAAGAGGTAGAGCATCTGCTTTGCAAGCACCAAGCTCTTGAGTTCAAACCCCATCCTACCAATGAGGGGGAAAAAAAAGGCTTCTGCAGACACAGCTGTGAAGGGAAATACAGAGGCTGGAGGGCTTGGGGCAGTCTTTTTTGCTGTTGTTGTTTTGTTTTATTTTCTAGTACTGGTGATTGAACCCAGGACCTCAGGATTGCTAGGCAAGTACTCTTTAACTCTTGAGTCATGCCCCCAATCCTTTTGTTTTTGATACAGGGTCTCATTAACTTTGCCCATGCTATTCTCCAACTCTCAATCCTCCTGCCTCTGCCTCCAAGTAGTTGGGATTACAGGCATGCACCAACATGCCTGGCACAGACTGTCTTGTAAGGAAAGTTTTTAGAAAACAATACTGAGCCCACAGCAGAGTGCAAGTGTGTTCCTTTCTTATAGCTGCTTAACGAATCATGACAAATTTAGTGGCTTAAAGCAACACAAACTGAGGCTACTTGGGAGAGCTTGGATTTAGCATCTGCAAGACCCTGATCTCAGTCCCCAGCACCAGGAAGAAAATACATAAATTAATTCTCTCACACTTCTGAGGGTCAGAACTCCAAAATGAGTCTTCTGGGGCTAAAACCCCAGGGCTTGTTTGCAGGGCTGCATTTCTGTGGGAGACACCAGGAGGCAGTCTGTTTCCCTGTTATTTTTGAAGCAGGGTCTCACTATGTAGCCCAGGTTGGCCTCTACTCAAAAGTCTCCTGCCTCTGCCTCCCAAGTGCTGGAATTACACGTGTGGGCCACATGCCTGGCTCTGTTCCTGCTTTGTGCACAGACTGCATTTTCACTCTGCACCAGGCTGTGTGAATTATGTAGCCACCTCTGATCCCAAAAGCAGCCCCCCCACCTACCCCATGAGGTCTTGGGAAAACAGGGCTTTGTGATTTGCTAAGGCAGTTTCCTTAGTACAAACAGCTCAGGTCTCCCCATGGAGACAGCACTCCTCCTGCATCCTCTCTGATTTCTGCCCACCCTACCCCTTCCCCGGTCTCAAGGGAGGGACAACGGGTAGGGATGGGGGTGAGGAGGAAGCTAAGGTGTTTGGAACAACAGATGTCACCAGGTGATTTATTGGTGTCCAAATCCTATGCCCCTCCCACCACAGACCACCTATTGGCCGTAAGGCTGTGGTATCATCCATCTCTCTCACTAAGAGAGCTGGCCTGGTCTCGGCACCTAGCAAAACTCTGAGTGGGCTTCTAGGTACGGGGGCCCTTGCTGCTAAAGGTTGTGATTCCCCAAAGGGAAGCTGCAGCCTGATTAACTGGCAGCATGACTGTCACACTATGGAAGGACTGTGGGTGTCTGCGCTGAGCCCGGTGCAAGAGCTACCACTCCCTTCGCCCCTCGCCGCTCAAGCAGGGGGATGGACAGTTCTGGGACAGGGGACAAGGGCACGTGGGGCTCTGGGCAGGCGGGCCTCAGAAGTTGTTATCGATATTCCAGACGTCGCCGCTGAGTGCGTTGGCTGCCCCCTGCAGCGTCCAGGTGAGCAGGGCCAACTGGCGCCGGAAGTGACTCTCCTGGAAGCCGGGACCAGGCGCCATCCCGGAGGAGGAGGCCCTGGGGGCCCCGGAGCCATCGGAGCGCAGCAGCCGCAGGTGGTCGAGCAGGGCATCCAGCGTGTGCTCTCCACGACCCAGGAAGATGTGGCGGAACGGGGAATCGGCCGGCGACACGTACTGGGACAGTAAGTAGAACTCCACCTGTGTCGAGAGAGGGATCAGGTCGGGGTGGGGGTATCCCTGGGTCGAAGGCCTCCGCCACCTTTCCAGCCAACAGCTCCTAACCGGCCTGGGGACTTAGGACCTGCTCATTCATTCTGCTCTGCAGCTTTCTCTAGCCCACTTTGACGGCCCAATCAGGAATAGCCGTCCTGTGACGTCACCAGTAGCTGGGCAGGATGCCTCCAGCTGTGCTGGGTTCTGACCTCTTCTGTAACTAGAGCCCCCGAGCCTGCATCTAGATCGCCCCTGTCTTTTTTCCTGACCGGTTCACTTCCTTGCCCAAAGCCTCAAAGAACAATCTGATGTCCTGCTGTTCCTCTTCTTACACCACATCTCCCCACATCCCAGTCATTCTGTCCCACCTCCAAAGTTCACAGCATGGAGTCAAAGGTCAAGGAGACAGCTTAGTCCTAACGAAGCGCTATGTCACCCTATGTCCCAGATGCTCTTCCCCCGTTCCCGCTTTCCTCTTCCGGGTTATCATCCTTGCCTGGGCACTACCCTAGAAAACTCAGATTCTGTGTGCGTGTGTGCAGTAGTGGGGATTGAACTTGGCAAGTGCTCTACCACTTGAGCCTGCAGTCCTGATTATTTATTTATTTATTTTTAAATTTGATCGTTTTTAGATTTAGTCCTGATTTTTAGTCTCATGCTTTTGCCTGGCCAGCTTCAGACAGAGATCGTCCTACCTCCACCTCCTGAGTAGCTGGGTTTGCAGGAGTGCACCACCACAGTCAGCCCTTCCCATCTTTTTAATATGTTTACTCACAGAACCCATCAGTGTTCCTGACTCCAACCAGCACCTCAGTGGGTACAACTGTCACATCCCTGTACCAAATCACCCACTGGGATCCTGCCCTACGGGACTAGTGGGCGTCTGGACACAGCCTCACACACTGCCAGTGAAAACCTCTTTCAAAACTCCCGCCTTCGGAACTGGGAGGGATGCAGCTCAGTTGCATCTTTCCTAGCGTGCATGAAGCCTTGGGTTTGATTCCCAGCACCACAAAAACAAAACAAAAAACCTGAGCCTTGCACACACTGACTTCCCCAAGGACCAGGCACTCAACAGTGCAATGAATGAGTGGCTATGAGGTCAGATTTCCTGGTTTGTAATTTAGGTTCCAACCCTAAATTACTGGGGTAATTGTGTGATTGTGAATAAGTTAGTTAACTTCTCTGAGCCTCAGTTTTTGTATTCAATATTAGCATCCTTACAGGGTTTGGGGAAATCCTGTTGGACAAAATGAAGTGAAGCCCCTAGCACATGGTAGCTCTCTATAAATGGCGGTTGCTATTGTTATTATTATTCTCTTTCCTCAACCCTGTCTGTCCTTTTTTCCTTCCAAATGCTTGATATCAATTCAGTTCCCATCTCTAGGCATTTACTACCATCTGGCCCCTCAGCCTTCATTAATTTCATCCCCTCTCCAGGGAAAAATCCTTTCTAAAAACTCCACTTGGCCTACATGATCTGCCTCCTTGAAATTTCTGTCATGTGCAGACCCTTAAAATCCAAGCCTCTTGCCCTGGCATTCAAGGCTCCCCGCAGTTGATTCCTAACCCACTAACTGGTGACTGCCACCCCTCCCTTCCATCTCTCCACAGGGCCTCTGTTCAAGCTTGACAGGTCCACACCCTGCTTCCAAGGAAAGCCAAGCCTATTTTACTGCCACACCCTTATTCTGCCTTATTCTGGGTCTCCCTGTCCTTCCTTCCTTCCTTCCTTTTTTTTTTTTTTTGGCGGTACTCAGGTTTGAACTCAGGACTTCACAATTGCTAGGTAGGCACTCTACTACTTGAACCACTCTTCCAACCCTGTTTTGTGTTGGGTATTTTCCTTTTTTTTTCTTTTTTGTGTTGGGTATTTTCAAGATACTATTTGCAGCCTGATGCTGGTGGCTCACGCCTGTAATCCCAGCTACTCAGGAAGGTTGTGGCTCGAAGCCAGCGGGGCAAATAGTTTATGAGACCCTATCTCAAAAAAAAAAAAATCACAAAAAAGGGTTGGTGGAGTGGCTCAAGGTATAGGCTCTGAGTTCAGGTCTCAGTACTACCAAAAAAAAAAAAGATACTGTTTGCTTGGGCTTCAAACTGTGATCTTCCTGAGTAGCTAGGTTTACAGTCGTGAGCCACCATTGCCTGGCTGTCGAGATCAGCAAACATTTTCTGCAAAAAGCCAAGCAGGAAATATTTTAGGCTTTTCAAGCCATACTACTTGTATTGGAGCTACTCAATGTCACTGCTTTAACACAAAAGCAGCCATAGACTATAGGAGTCATGCACCTTACACACAGGTGCACACAGATCCCTGGGGGAAGGGGAGGTCAACCTGGGGAAGGAGATGTTCCTGGGGTCTGACACATCAGAAGTTAAACCAAGACCTATGACTGAGAATGAACTGTGCTCAATGTCATTTCACCCAGGGTTACGTGTGTCTCCGTCGCGGGGACAAAGGGAAGGGAAAAATGAGAGATCAGGAGGAGAGAACAAAGTGGGGATTGAGAAGGGTAACAGAGATCAAGAGAAGGGAACCATGGACTGGGGTGTGTGTGTCAAGTACTAGAGCAACAAGTAGGAGGCCCTGAGCTCAATCCCCAATACTGCAAGAGAAAGGATGAAGGAAGGGAAGAGCCAGGTGGCTCATGCCTGTAATCCCAGCTACTCGGGAGGAGAGAGATGAAGGAATGAGGGTCAAGGCCAGCCCAGACAAAAAGCAGGACCCCATCTCAACAAACAAGGCTGGGTGGTGGTACACGCCTGTAATCTCAGCTATTCAGGAGGCACAGGCAGGAGGACTGAGATCCCAGGCAAAAATCACCAGACCATATCTGAAAAATAACCCAAAGCAAAAAGGGCTGGAGGTGGTAGAGTGAAAAACACGCGCGGATGTGCACATGTGGCTCCGCGTGTACACACGAATTCCCTGCTCGCTCCACATACCGAGGATGGTCCCGCTTATAACTTTACCCATAGACCTTTCCCCTAGCCACAGCCCCTACCACTCCATTTCCTGAAATCAAAGGGTTGAGTTCTTGGGGTGAGGAAATGGAAGGATAAGGAACCAGAGGTGGAGCTTGGGGCTACCACAAGTATTCAAAACTAAGCAGGAATGCCTGGAGAGAGAGAAAGTTCTTAACTTTCACATGACACTCCCTCCAGACAGCCTTTCTGGATTTCACCCATCTCATTATCAGAAGGACGAAAGCTCTCTATGCTCTGAATATATATATATATTTTTGTAGACGGGGTCTCTGTTACGTAGCCCAGAATGGCCTGGCATTCGTGACCCCCACCCCAAGTGCTGGAATTCATACACCTGCAACACCAAGCTCTGCTGCGCTCTTAATTTCTTTATAGTCTTTTGCACTCTCTTCCCAAGGCTGTGACCATTGTGGACAACCTTTTTTAGGGGAAGTTAAGTGGTAGCTACTGTAACCCGCCCCGTCCATTTCATAACTTTGCAGGGCCTGCCTGCAAAGGACCGCTCAAGTCCTTGTGACAACTGTGTCCAGGACAGGGCGCGCCGGGAGGACTGAGACAGATTCAGCTAAGAGAAAGCCCAGGCAGCCAAGGGCCGGAAGAGGGCGTGGCCTGGCCGGGGGCGTGTTAGGGGGCGTGGCCTCACCCGCATGATGCGCACGTTGTACATGCGCATCAGCCTCTCGTCGCTCTTTTCGGAACTGTAGATCTCCTTCCGCAGCTTCTCGGCGGCGCGGATATAGTCCCCCCGTGCCGAGTACACCCACTGCAGGGTCAGCCCGCGGGCCTGAGGGCGAGGCGCAGGCTGGGGTCGTCGGCGGAGGCTCGGACCCCGGCCTAGGATCGGGTCAAGGATTGGGGGACAGGGCTGGGACCTTTGATGTGGCAGGAGGGTGGAGGTATGAGGAATAACGTGCTGGAGCCCGATCCTGGACGTGTGAGGTTGGGGGAGGGCGGACCCCGGGGGCTTAAGTGACTGGGAGCAGGAATAAAAGGGTCAGGCTGCTGCAGGGGACTTAGATCCCAAGGATGAGGGAGGAGGGGCCGGACCCCCTGAAGATGGAGCGTCCCCTCCCTTCCCCCAGAGGCCAGAAGCATGGTTGGCATCTTGGACCTTGAGGTCCCCTGAGAACTCGTTGAGGCTGCTGATGTGTCCGAGGACCACGTCCCCGTAGCGGCCGAAGTCCAGGGGCAGCAGGTGATCGTGGCTCAGGCGGATGAGAAGCTGCCCGGCAAACTGGGCCACAGCCTGGGCCACAGCTGGCAGGCGGCCTCGAAGCATCTTGTGCAGGTTCTCATATGTGTCCTCCTTCGTATGCAGGAAGGGGTATGCCTCGTCGTCCTGCTGGGACATGGAGGGGCTGGGGGCAGGGGTGTGGTGCAGACAGACCTGGGGACTGGCGTCCTGGGACAGGGTTGGGATGTCTCACCTCCACGAAAGAGAACTCCACGGCGGGGACCCCCGCGAAAGCCGTGAAGGAATAGGCGCTGCTATCCATGGGCAAGGGCTTGATCCTGGGGGCGGCAGGTCGGAGGGGTCTGTGGGTTCAGACACCCCTCCGTTCATCCCCTCCCCAGGTTCCCACTCCACCTCAGCTTACACCTCAGCATCCCAGCTGGGATTGGTGCGCACCACCTGCTCGTACAGGGTCTGCCCACTGTGGTTAGGAGAGTCCACCTGAGGACAGGGCGGGACACGGGTCAGGCCCCTGCCTCCCACCAGCCTCCGCCTCCTCCCTGTCCTGAACTTGCTCTTGCCTGCTTCAGGATGTTCTCAATGAGGCTGATCAGAAGGGGGCTGGTCTTGGCATGGAACTTGTCATCCCCTGAAGAGAGAGAAGGAGAGAGATGGTGGCCCAGGACTTGACCCTAGGGCAAGGTTGGACCCCACGGGGCCCCAGGTGGTGGCATTGCCCCCAGCTCACCCAGCACTGCATTGTCCAGGCTCACATAGACTACAGCTTTGAGGTGCAGCATGCTGAGGTAGCCCTGTAGGGGGGAAGGTGGAGTGTGTGGAAAATGAAGCCGCCCCACCTCTCCCTACTTACTACCTGGTTGCCTGCAGGGCCCCCAAATCACCTCTAGCCACTCGGTGGAGCCCACACTGCCAAAGTCACCTCCATCCCAGCTGATGAAGAGAAGACTTCTGCGGGGACGGAAGCCTGGGGACAGAAGGGCAAAAGGAGGATGGGCTCTACTGGGGGCCACCAAAGACCTCCCCCCTTGTCTTCCTCTGTCATAGTCTTCAGGGGGTTGCTCCTTCTCATCAAATCACCACCCCAGCCCATCCCACCCTGGGGCTGCCCTCTGTATAAAATCTCTTGCTTAATTGTCACTCAGGCTTATAGCCACTTACCACTTTCATTGAGGGGGAGCAGTATTGGGGTTTGAACTCAGGGCCTCATGCTAGCTAGGCAGGTGCTCTTACGCTTAAGTCACTCCACCAGCCCTGTTTTGCATTGGATTTTTTTTTTCCAGATAGGGTCTCATGAACAATTTGCCTACAGCTGGCTTCGAACTTTGATCCTCCTGATCTCTGCCTCCTAAGTAGCTAGGGTTACGGGCATGAGCCACAGGTGCCTGGCCTCACTTTCATTTTTCTTTCTTTATTTCTTGCTAGTATTGTGGATTGAACTCAGGCCTCACACTTACTAGGCAAGTGCTCTACCATTTGAGCCACGTCACCAGTTCTTTTGCTTTTTTAGTTTGTTTTTCAGATAAAGTCTCAAGCTTTTGCCCTGGCTGGGCTTGGACCATCATCCTCCTACCTCCGACTCCTGAGTAGCTGGGATTTCAGGCTTGTACCACCATGCCTTTTTTTTACCCCCCAGTACTGGGGATTGAACTCAGAGCCTTGTGTTTGGTAGGCTGGTGCTTTACCAATTGGGCCACACTCCCAGTCTTCCGGCCTATCACTTTCATTCTTTAGATGAAAGAGTGCTGTAGAGGGGAAGTGACAGAGCCACACTAGGGACATGAAATGCCAGGTACGGAGCCCAGATCTGAGTGACTTCCTTCCAGTCTGTGCCCTCCACTGCCTCTCTGTCCCAGCCCTAGTTTAAGCCACAGCGCCAACTCTACCCAGCCCAGGCCCTGGCCCTGACCTTACCATTGCTCACCATGGCGGAAAACGTCTGAACCAGTTCAATCAGTATGGCAGTCCCCACCGCGGACTTGGCTGCTCCTGGGCCCCATGCATCCCTTTGGGCCCCAATGACAACATAGTGATCTGTGGAGGGCAAGTTTGGGGCCCACCTCTTACACTGGCAGTACCCAAGGATCCCCTGCACCTCAGGAAGGTGAGTGTTCCCAGGACTTCAAGCCTACCTTTCTAGCTCCGCCCCACCCCCATCAAAACCTCCATCACTCCTCAGATCTCTGCAACCCCAGCCCTCCAGTTCCTGCTATCCCAAAAGACAGTGTCCCTTCTCTCCCTGGCCCTCTCTGGATGGCTTGCTTCTTCAGTGAGGCGTCTGGAGACATCTGGACTCTATTCCCTCCTTGGTTGGCCAGGTTGCACTGCCTCCTCCCATTTTTTTTCTCCAGCCCTCTCCTGGTTCCCCATGCCCACCACCCCCAATCTGATCTGAACCTCACCACAGGCCTCCCTGTGCCTCTCCTTCCATGCTCACCTGGTCACTTGTAGGAACCCCAACCCTCCTCAAGTTATCTCATTCCCTGTTCTCCAGCTGGTCAACCTATGCTGATTCTCCACCACTAGAGTTACCTATCCAGTCTGGCCTTTTTTTTTTTAATGCATGAATTTCTGGTGCAACATCATCCAGTTTATGCTTGCTCACCTCCAGTGCTGGGAAGCTCACTACCATGCAATACTGCCCGTGCTGTCCCTGGATAGGCTGGAACATAAGGTGCCCTCACCGCCACCCCCATCAGTACCAGTACAGCCTCTGCTTGCCAATCTCCCTCCCCTGGGCACCATTCCTGCCTCTTCGGGGCCTTCTGCACCAGCAAATCTAAGTTATAAGCACAGGCTCCTCTCCCCCAAACTGTGGGAGGTGCCAAGCAAGGAAGCCCCCACACCTGGTTCTGCATGGCCCTCAATGCAGCCAAAGATGTTGGTGATGGGGGTGGAGGTTCTGTGGTTGTTGACCTCTAGGTGCAGACTTGGCCCAGGGCCCAGGTGATAAGGGGAGCCTGGGAGGTGTCCCTGCCATTCCTGGGGGGCCACAGGGCCTTTGAGCTTCCTGGAAAGGGGTAAAACAAAGGATTGGAAGTGGTAGAGGCCCAGGTTACAGAAGAGCCTGAAGACTCCTCTTCACTCTTCTCCTCCTCCCATTCTTAGACTCCAGAGCTCTGCCTTGGGAGGAGGGCAGTGCAGCTAGGGCTGCGTTGGACAGTGGTATTGGTTGCATCCAGCTCAAGGGTGCCTAGCAGAGGTTGGTGTGCCAAGGGATGGGCCCTGGCAAGAGGTGCATCACTTTTTTCTAGGCACCCCGTGGCTGACTGCAGTCTCCTCTCTGCCTCTTCTCTCCTGCCCCATCCTCACTCCCCTTACCTAAGCAGAGGTTCAGCTATGTCTGCGCTGATGGGCTGGGCAGGGATGCTGGGGAGGCCCGAGGATTCCACTGGAGGGAACTGGGTTTGATTGAAGGAAGGGAAGCCAGGTGTGTAGGGGTCTCCAGTTCCCAGATGCACCTGTGGGAGGAAGGCGTGCCCATCTTGAGACTGTGGGCTGGACCAGTTCCATTCGAAGGACATGTGGCCCTGGGCCCCCAGAAAGCACTTCTTACATGTTCATACACAGCCAGGTGGCTGGGCAGGGTTGGCTTGTGTGGGTCCTGAGAGAAGTCTGCTGGGTCAGGGTATATGAGTACTCCTCGGGCCCCAAAGTCCTGGGCACTGGCCACCTGGGGGGAGGGCAGGAAAGCAAGGAAAAGTGAAATGGCCACGTTCCTTGATCTACAACTGTTTTTAACCTACAACCCTCCCGCAGCGCCTTGCAGCCCTCAGACACCCCTGCACCCTGCAGCCCACCCCTACAGGCGTCTGTTCTCTGCTCCATCAAATGTCTATTCTGGTTTGCTGCCAGTATTTTCTTGCAACCTGCTTGATCTTTATTCCCACCCCCCCCAACCCCCGCCCCGGACTTTTCCCATTGCTTGAGCCCTCAGTTTCCCCAGCCAGGGACCCTCACCTTCTGGGCAAAGCTGGTCATCCCCACGCGCACCAGCAGAAGGCAGCCGGCCGGCTCCACGCCCCTGGCCCGCAGGTCCTGCAGATCCTCCGGCCGCCCATAGTGGGCGTACACCAGCTTCCCCTGGGGATGCGGGATACGGTAATGGGTGCAGCCCGCGACCCTGGAAAGGGCGCGCGCTGCTCCCCATGCTGGTGCTGGGCAACAGGCGCTCACCGTAGCGTTGCCTGTGGCACTGTAGGGGCAGTAGGCGTCAGGGTCCTCCAGCGGCAGCTGCTCTCCAGCCCTCCCAGACTCATCGACCCAGTGCAGGATGTTGGGGTGATCCCTGAGAAGCGGGGGTGGTGAAGCCCAGTCACACCACGCCTCCCCTCTCAACTTCCCCGCCGCCGCGCGCCCTTTCCCCCGCACTCACGGGTCCGGGAACTGTAACCCCACATAGTGCGTGTCGGTCCACACGTGGTCCAGCTTCTGGCGGGACAGCACCGCTAGGATGTCCTGGGACAGGGCGGCCATCCCGGCAGAGCCGGCCACCCGTTCCCGATGGCTGGTTAGCCTGAGCGGGGAGAGGTCGGATTGGGGCCCAGGAGGCGACAGGGACTGAGACTTCTGGGGGCCCCCAGGCGTGGGAACCGTGCTAGAGTGGGGCTGCCCCAGGGCAGGGCAGAGAGGGGCTAAGTTTAGTGGGGAAAAAGCTCTCTCTGCCGACCTATTCTCTCCCATCCCGGTAGAGCGCCTGCCTAGTAAGAGTGAGGCCCTGAGTTCAAACCCCACCTCTGCATTTAGTACCTCCAATGTAGCTACTCACTTCTCTGGATCTTGTTACCCCGCACTCCACCTCTGGAATAAAACACTGAGAATTTACTGATCAATTTATTATTACTCTTTTGACACACTGTTGGAAACTTAATCAAGGTGTCTTTTTCAGACCTCAGTAACATTCAGGTGCCAGGTACTGTACACAGCGCATATGATTCCAAGATAAACAGGACAGAGTTTATCAGCTCATCTTCGAGGCTCCAGAATCTCACACTGGGACTAGATCTTCTCAGGTTCCAACTTGCTCCCTTACCCTCACTGTACTTTTTTTTTTGGCAGTACTGGGGCTTGAACTCAGGGCCTTCGCCTTGAGCCACTCCACCAGTGAAGGGTTTTTCGAGATAGAGTCTCGGGAACTTTTTGCCTGGGCTACCTTTGAGTCGCAATCCTCCTGATCTCTGCCTTCTGAGTAGCTAGGATTACACCCGTGAGCCATCAGTGCCCGGTGTACTAGTTCTCTTTTTAGGGAGTAGGGGTAAGACTGGGATTTGAACTCAGGGCTTCACACAGGCAAAGCAGGCACTCTACTGCTTGAGCCACACCTCCAGTCCATTTTGCTCTGGTTATTTTGGAGATGGGGTCTAAAGAACTATTTGCCCAGGCTGACCTCAAACCGTGATCCTCCTGATCTCATCAAGTAGCAAGGATTGCAAGTGTGAGCCATCAGTGCCTGGCTCTCTCTCTACTTGCTCTTGAACTTCATCAAGCACTCCAGGTTTTGGTCAATTTCTCTGTCAGCTGCTCTCCCTGGGATCCTTCCCTTCCATCCAACCTAGAAGCACGCCTCAGTTCATCACCCTCCTTGCTCCGACTGCTGCCTTCTCACCTCCCTGCTCTGTGATGGCACCCACAGTGCTCGCTGTGCCTCTAGACACATCAAGCCATCCATCTGTTCAGCCTGTACCCAGACCACCAAGTGCTGCTCAAGAAAACAAACAAAATCCCTAAATATTGGGCTGGGAGTATAGAGCTCAAACTGGTAGAGCTAGTATCTGCAAAGCCCTGAGTTCAATCCCCAGAACTGCCAAAAGGAAAGAGAGAGAGAGAGAGAGAATGTGCGTGTAATAATATATCTGCATTAAGCTTACACAAGGAAGTCTAATTTGTATACAAATTACTATGTAAACATTAAAGAAGAAAGCTAGAGGGCTGGTGGAATGGCTCAAGTGGTAGGGCACCTGCCTAGCAAGCATGAAGCCCTGAGATCAAACCCCAGGGCTGCCAAATTTAAATTTAAAAAAAGAGAAAAGACAGATGGGTGGGGTGGTGCATGCCTGTAATCCCAGTACTTTGAGAAGCTTTAGGAGGATTGCAATTTTGCGGCCAGCATGGGCTACGAAAAACAAAACAAAAAATTAAAGAAGAAATATGTGATTATCTCAGTACATTTGCTGGGGAAAAAAGTTCTGTACCTGTTCTTCATTTTCTGCTTTTTTTCCCATGTGTGTCGGGGGCGGTACTGGAGTTTGAACTTGGGGCTTCACGCTTGCTAGGCAGTCTTTCTACCACTTGAGCCCACACTGCCAGCCCTATTCTTCATTTTCTGATCACTAAAAGGTCTTGGGTTGGAGTTGTGGTTCAAGTGGTAAAGCACCTGCCTCAGAAGCACAAAGTCCTGAGTTCAAACCCCAGTACCACCAAGAAAAGCATAAAGAAGTAAATGCTTCTAAAATTGCTTTTTTTAAAAAAAAGTCTCAGTAAGCTAGAAATAGAAGAAACTTTCTTAACTCAACTTTAAAAAGTTGTCCGATGCCTATAGAAAAGTTCATTCTTCGTGAGAGGGTGTTATAAAAAGATTTCTGTGAATGTCAGGATGTAGGCAAGGATGGCTACTGTCACTGGTACCTAAATTAATGTCCTTTTTCCATGCAGTAAGAAAAAGACATAAAAGGCAGAAACAATGGGAAAGAGTTATGTGTTACCTACTGTCTGCAGTTTATATGATTAGCTACTCAGAAAACCCAGGAAAAACCTATTTCTGACAGAAGAGGGCAGAGGGTGGCCTGACCTTTCTCTGGACCTATCTGGGCAGCTGTTTCCCAGTAAGGTATAGTGACACAATCTACCTTGGCTATGTTGCAGGCCTACACAGTCTTGCTGGCATCTCCCCAGGATGTAGATGTGGTTCAGTACCCACAAATGCTTTTCTTTCTTATTTCTCTGATTCCTTAAAAGATCCCTTATCAGAGTTCCCCATTGCTACGGGTCCTTTTCCAGGCTCCTGGCCGTGCCATTTAGGATGTTTCTGGGTTGGTCCTGCCTCATTTTGGATGCCGGACCCAGCGGGGCTTTTTGTTTGTTGTTTATTTGGCTGGTTTATTATTATTATTATTATTATTGTTTTGTTTTGTTTTGCAGTATTGGGGATTGAATTCAGGGTCTCACACATGCTAGGCAGGTGCTCCACCACTTGAGCTACTCCTCTCACCCCACCCCCCCAGTCCTTTTTGCTTGTTTTTGAGATAGGATGTCTATAACTTTACCTGGGCTGACCTCAAACTCTCAATCCTCCTGCCTCTGCCTCCTGAGTAGCTGGGATTACAGGTATGTACCACCATGCCTGTAATCATTCATTTCAGTCTGCTCCCCCATATCCCAAATATGCCACCCTCAGAGCCTCTGCCCCCTGTAATTTCATCTCTGAATGTCTGCCATTCTTCCCAGGACTGCTGAACAAGGAAGTCAGGAAGGCAAATTAAGGGACTGGTAAGAGAACCCAGACACCAGGTTCTTGGGTGAGCAGGAAGGGAGGCCAAACTGAGTAGATGAAGATAGGAAACTGCAGGCCAGGAAGGGGCAGGCTGCTCTTACCTGATGGTATCCTCCAGGTGCCTCGCCCCTAGAAGCTTCAGGAACATGGCCTGGAGGTCACTCCAGTACAACGTACCCTGGTGGGAGTCCAGGCCCAGTTCATAGTTGGAGTCCTCACTGACCACCAATACGGAGTCCCCGCATGCCTGGCAGGACCCTCGGAAGGCCACATAGCCCAGGAGGAAGGCTGGCAGATGGTAAGATGAAGACTCTCTTTGTGCCCCCTTGAGATCCCAGAAATCTCCCCCAGCCCAGGCCCTTCACTGGGGGGAAGGTATGGGGGATGATTCTCACCCCCAGTGAAGATCAGTAGGGCAGTCAGGACCAGGTAGGGGGCAGCCCTTCGTCCTGCTGCTGCCCAGGGTATAAAATTTGCCAGCCCAGGTGTAGAGCCCAGGGGCTCAGGGCCCTTCAGTTCCATGGGGCAGAAGTGGGCAGGCAACTCGGCCTCCTCCCTGTCTTCTTCTTCCTCCTCCAGGTGCCCCTGGAGGGGGCCTTCCACACGCCTGTAGATGGTCTGAGAGGGTCCTGGGGACCACTGGTACTGTGCATGGGGGAGGAGACAGGGGAGGCGTGAGACTGGGAAAGAAGCCTGGGGGTGGGGAAGGATCTGGCAATAATGGTGTCAGTGGCTTTGGGGTGCGGAATGAGGCATGGAGAGGGGCCTGAGAGGGAAACTGAAGGGAAGGGACCTAAGGGGAAGGGGCAGAGGGAAGGGGCCATGACACTGGTCAGGAGGGGACAGCCTTAGGGGTTTGGGAGGGGGCTGAGGGACCTGAGGGGAAGGCCTAAGGTGTCCCCCAATCCCACTGATCTTACCGCTCTCTGGAGTAGACCCCGAAGCCGCTCCATGCTCGCGCCCCCTCCTGAACCCTATGGGCTGCCCACCACACCCCAGTGATAAACCGTTTGTTGGAGCCTCAGAGGTCTCTTATCAGCCCTGGCAGGCAGCTTCAACCTAGGCCAGCCCCCCTCCCCTACACACAAGGGAGGCCTCAGTCCAGCCTCCCTGAGAGCTCCTCAGCCCAGGCCAGAGAAGGAAGGGCTGTGCCCTTCCCTGCCAATCCTTCTTCAGCCCCACTCCTGCCCACTCTCTGCAAAAACAATCAATTTTTTTTTTTAAACCTTGGGGCAGACTTTGGCCTCTTAGTTCCCGTCAGGGATGGGGGAAGGGGTTGAAAGTGAGGGGAAGGAGGATTTATGGGTAGGTGCCTCCCCTATCCTGTTTCTACCCCTCCCAGAGTCCTTGGGGACCTCTTTCTAAGCCTCTGTGGAAAGCTCACCATGAAGATATATGCCCCTTCTCATCTGGCCTGCAAGCCCACCAAAGCCTAGACCAGGGAACATATTAGTTGCTCTCCCTGCCCTGACACAGGCTTCAAGGCCCCAGAATCCTAAGCTGTAGGCACTACAGTGGTGTGACCTAGGGGTTTGGTCTGGTCATGTGGATGTCTGTTCCTTTGGAATGAGGCTCCTGCTGTCTGCTGGGAAGGGAGGAGCATGAGTGGGGTAACAGGTCAGGACGGATCAATGAATGGGGCCTGGAGCTAGGGATCTGTGGGTCAGGGTCCACCAGGCAAATGGGGAGGGCTGGAGGAATCCTGGTTAAGACATGGGTAGAGCTGTGTGATCTTGGACACGTAATGGTCTTCCCTGGGCACTGGCGCCTCTTTGGTCACCAAAGGACTTGGATCAGTTGGGTTTCCACCTCTTTGGGGTCTGAGGAATCCTCTGAGAATCTGGTGAAAGGCCAGATAGCCTCACCCCAGAATCTTCCTAGGCACAAAGCACTAAGTCTTTCCTACAACTTCAAACAGAAGGTGCAGGTTTCCAAGTCCTGCAGAGGACCCCAGGACAAGTAGCTCTGAAAAGGAGCTCTCAGGGTCCACACCCCGTCTCCGATCTCGTGGAGGTCTCCCCTGGGGAACCCCAGCTTCTTCCCAGGTCCAGAGAAGTCTGAGGCGTTGGAGCCCTAGTCCCAGCTCCATGCCTGTCAAAGCTGAGTCCCGGGAGGAAAGACACAGCGCAGCCCCGGCTTAACAGAGCTGCAGGTCCTGGGGTGCTTGGGCACTACTCCCCGGAGACCCAAAGAGGCCCCGCCCACTCGGGCCCGCCTCCGACCACGCCCACTCAAGCCCCGCCCCGCCGCATCCTCTCTCCGGCAGCAGCTGGAGCTGGGGCTCAACACCAGATCTCCCTGTCGTGGTCTCCCCGGGTCTCGGTCCCGGATCCCAAGAGCCCACTGTTGAATCTGGCTTGGTGCGGCCTCCTTCCAGACACTTGCGCCCACTCCCCACCACCCAAGGAGGTCAGACTTTTCTTAACACATTTTTACTTTTTTCAACTCAGGGAACACCACGATCTAAAAGGACGAGAGAAGAGGAAGGGGCAGTGGGGCATGGGATGCTGAGGGGCTTCGATCTGCGCTCGCGGAGGCCTAGATGGGGAAACACCCCTCTCACGTCCGTCTCCCCAAACGCCGAGGGTGGAAGGGCAGGCGGGTGTGTGGGGAGGGGGCGCCCTCAGGGGCACTTCCGCTCCACGCACTGCTTCCCGCCCTCCTCGTATTCCTGCTTGGAGATCCACATCTGCTGGAAAGTGCCCTAGGAGGAGGGGGCGACATGGGCGCGGGCTGTCAGGATGACCCTGGAGGAGGGGGGAGGGCCGCCCCGCAAAACCCCTCTGTCCTCCGGGCCTCGCTGTCTCTGTACCCAAATTCTGCCCCCGGGGACTTCATCCCTGCCCCCGTACCCTCCCTTGTCCGTGGGTCTGTGTCCTCTTTCATATTGAAAGGGAGGATACCCTCTTCATCAAGGATTTACTCATTCAACAAGTACAAAAGAACTACCTATCAGCTCCTAGGGCTGTTTCTAAGCTGGGTGGTGGCACTCACAGCCCAGGCCCAGCCAACTTCATCTCACCCCACACACACATACCCCATCACAGACACACTGACTCATTACTCTCCACTAGGTGTCCTTCCTCTCTCCATCAGGGCTTACACACACACACACACACACACACACACATATGTCAAGTCACCCTCATTCCCCAGGAAAATCTTTGCTCCACCTCCACCATTCTGACAACCACCTAACTTCACCCTGGTGCCTCATTGCACCCACTCCTGCTGAAACCTACCCAGGGCATTTTACACTATCCCTGGGTTTTGAATTTAGGGCCTCACGCTTGCTAGGCAGGAGCTTTTACTACTTGAGCCAATCCACCAGCCCCTAAACTAACTTCTTTGGTGTTTCTTTCCTGTATACCTGTGCCATCCAGTGCAGAAGCCACTAGCCTCATGTGGCCACTAAGCACTTGAAATGTGGCTAGTCCTTGGGCTGGGAGTGTGGCTCAAGTGGTAGAGTGCCTGCCTAGCAAATGCAAGGCCCTGAATTCAAACCCCAGTCCTGCCAAAAGAAAAAGAAAGAAATGTGACTAGTCCAAAGCGAGATGTTCTCTATGTGGAAAATATATATTGAATTTTGATAACTAAGTACAGAATGTAAAATATCTCACTAAGAATGTTTTTTTTGAGAGAGGCTCTTGGTATATAGCTAGCCTGGCCTCAAACTCATGAGCCTCCTGCCTCAGCCTCCCTAGTGTTAAGATAAGAAGTGTGTACCACTATGCCTGGCTTACTAAGAAATTTTTATATTGATCACATATTGATCAAAATGTTAGATTAAATAAAGTATACTCCTAAAAATTGTGACGCACGCCTGTAAACCTAGCACTCAGGAGGCTGAGGCAGAATGATTACAAGTTTCAAGAGAGCTGGGGCTACATAGCAAGACTCTGACTCAAAAAAAAATTCAAATTTCATCTGTTTCTTTTTTATTTATGTATTTTTTTTTGGTGGGACTAGTATTTGAATTCAGGGCTTCACACTTGCAAGCATGAATTGTGTGGCCTGAGCCTCACCTCCAGTTCATTTTACTCTTGTTACTTTGGAGATAGGGGTCTCATGAACTATTTGTCCAGGTTGGCCTCGAACCACAATCCTCCTGATCTTAGCCTCTGAAGTAGCTAAGATTATAAGTGTGAGCCACCAACACCTGACTTTTTTTTTTCAATTAGAGTGGGGTTTGAACTCAGAGCTTTGCACTTGCAAAGGTGTGGCACTCTACTGTTTGAGCCACACCTCCAAATCTGGCTTCTTTATACTGTCTTTAAGTATTGCTAGAAGAAAAATTTAAAGTATATGTGTGGCTTGCAGTATGCTCCTGGTGGGCAGTCCTGCCCTAGCCCCTACTTAAGTAGCATCCTCAGCCTGTCCTTGACCCTGTCTCTCTCTTATGAGCACAAACTGGTCCAGACTGAGTCCACCGTTTCCTGCCCCAAACCATCCTACCTGCCTCCTCTTCTAGTTGTTCCCACTGCTGCCCACTGAGTGACTCTAAAGCATTGGAAAGAAACTCCTTACATTTCCTCTTGGTTCCCAGATCACATCCTGATGCCAAACACTCATGCTTGGCAGTTTTTCAGGACATGCCTGTTTTGATCATATCACTCCCTTGCCCCAAACCTGCGCAGTGTCCCCTCTGCTACTGAGGACCACGGCTGCCTCATTACCACAACCTCATCTGGACCAATCTCTCCAGCTTCCTGTTCCTGTGCTCCCTGACTTGTGTCCTGGTAAAGCACTCAGACCTTTTGGGAGCATTCAATGACTCCCTTTCTCAAAAATATGTTTGTTGAATGAATGAATGGGAAGGTGGGCAAGGCGCAGAGGTGTTTGGCTCTCCTCTGTTCCCACATTCAGCACTAAGCCACACCCCTTCCCTCTCACCAATGAGGCCAAGATGGAACCCCCAATCCACGGGCTGAACTTGCGTTCCATGGTGCTATTGCTGGCGATCAGTTTCAGTCTCATGCTCTGTGGAGAAGAAGGGGCTGGGAGAAGCAGGTGTCTAGGTTCTGGGAAGAGACAGGGCTTGGAAGGTGGGCGAAAGCCACAAGATAGAAGGTCTGAGAACTCCATGTTTGCAAGGGAGGAAGGCCTTGGTTCTGAGGGCTAAGCCAGGACAAAAGTCCAGGGCCATGGGTAAGGGGTGGGCTCCTACCGGTGGTGTCTTCTGGGACAGCTCTCGATTGAGCCTGTCGGTGAAGCCCTGAAGCAGTGTGTTCCCACCAGTAACAATGACACTGCCATACAGGCCCTGAGAGCAGGGAGGAATGAGTCTGTAGGGAACAAACCCTTTCTGACCTCCCCACTACTCCTGGACCCCTTTGCCCAGCCTCCAGGCTCAGGCCTCACCGGGCGAATGTCAATGTCACACATCCCGATGCTGGTTGTCACCACGTGGCCCACGCCTAACATGGTGTTTCCTGACAGGCCCTGTGGACAAAGGTGACCTGGGCTTTCGGGCTTCTGTTCCCTCTTCCCTGACCCCCACAGTCCTTCCCAGTCTCCCCCGACTCCTCAGGATCCAGGGACTCCAGCCAGCATCCACCCCAATCCGTGCCTACCACCCAGCCAAACCTTGACATTGGAAGGATCAAACAGGCCCTCGGGGATGCGGAGTCGCTCGGCTCCATAGTCTGTGTTGTAGCCATTGGGCATCTCGTAATGAACTGTGGGCATTTGTGCAGCCACCCTGCCCAGGAAGAAGCAAGACTGCTTGGGTACTCACCAAGGATCACTGGATGGGCAGCACGGAAGGTCCCCTGAGTCCCAGTTCTGCCCTCTTTCCCACCCCCAGGGCTGAGCCCCACTCACTGCTCATCATAGGGTGAGTCTGAGACCTGCAGCACCGAGGCCTGGAAGTCTTGGATCACCTCCTGAGAACCAGGGAGGGGTGAGGGCTGGCCTGCCTCCTTCTTTTTCTCTTTTCTTTTTCTTCAGCACTGGAGTTTTGAACTCAGAGCCTTGCCCTTGTTCCACCAGTTGAGCCATGCCCCTAGCCCTTTTTGTTTTCGTTATTTTTCAGACAGGGTGTCATGCTTTTGCCCCAGCCTTGCATTGCAACCCTCCCATCTCTACCTCTCTGTAGCTGGGATTGCAGGTGTGCATCACCATGCATGGCCCTTGGCCTCCCTTCTTCTTGAAAAATTTTTATTTATTTATTTGATAGTACTAGAGTTTGAACTCAGGGCCTCCCACTTGCAGCAGGTACTCTACCACTTGAGCAATGTTCCCAGTCCTCACACCCACCCCATCCCCCTTCTGAGCACTCTGACTCCATCCCACCTGCAAGGCCTCAGTCCCTCCCCCTACTCATGGTAGGAACCAGGAACTGGGGAGGAGAACTATTTCTGGGGACCCTCTTCAGAACCTCACATTGCACATGTAGTTATGCCAGGACTTGGAGACTTGGGGTAGCTTTTCCTTCTTCTTCCAGTTTGGGGGGGCTCCCTCCCGTACAGGCTCCTGTGGGGGCACAGCCTCTGAATATCCTTCCCAGGCCACCTGACCACACCTGCCTTCCCAGCATTCAACAGCTCTGCAACTGACCAGAAGTGGGGGCTGTGCTCTGTTGCCCAGAAGAGTGACTTGTCAGCCTTCCCTGACAGAGGGAACAGGGAAAGCCTGTCCCCATGTGTGCCATACATCCTCAGGTCCAGTTGATTAGAAAGACCCCAATCAGAGAAAGCTAAAGGCACATGGCAAAGGCCTTTTCTTCGGCCATGATCCATGTGGGCACTCAGAGAAGACCTTTGTATGTAGTGTCAATTAACACATCTCTCTCTGCTATTGCTCCAGTTTACAGGAGAGGAAACTGAGGCCTGGGAGCTTCAATATCACACTCTAGATCGCACGGTTCTTATGTGGCAGAGGCAGAACGTGAATCTTGTCTAGTGGACTCCAGACCAACCACACTGGCCCTCACACATCTGATGTTAACAGATTGCATGACCTCAGCCTATCCAATGCCTCGATTATAAAATGAGGAACTGAACCCGCAGATCTTCTGGGGGCCCTGCTGCTTTCTGCTTTGCTATCTCATGGGTCAGTGGACCGATGGGTGTAGGGTGAGTTCCCAGGACTGGATGGTGGCAGCTGTGGGCTGCCCAGAGGCCCCACCTTGGCTGCGATCATGTAAGGAGGGATGATGTCAATGGCCATCTCCTGAAAGAGTTCTCGGCACTGCATGGAGATGAAGTCTCCAGCGAGGGGCGACTTGACGATGCCTGGAGGGGGGGCAGTGTGAGGACATGGTCTCCCGAATCAACCCCACCCCCGCCCCCACCCCTGCCCAGACCCCACCTTGCTGCAGGACGTAGCCGTCATGCACTGGAATGGCTGTGGTATGGGTGGCCCCACTGTCCAGCACAAGGCCTGTGGAGCGTCCATTTGCAAAGCTGGAGTGGGATGGGTCAGTCAAAGATACAGCTGCCACCAGTGAGGGGACTGGGACCTGGGTCTGGCCTAGTCCCTTTCTACTCTCCCTAGGTCCGGCCCATCCCAGGCTGAAAATCCCATATCCTAGAGACTGACTCCTGAGACCCCAGCCAACTTCTCCTGTGTGGAAATCACTTCTTCCTCTTTTCCAACTAAACTTCCAGGCTCTCTTTATTCTTGGTTATGTGTCCTATGCACTCCTTAAATTAGGGTCCCATCACCCTAGTGCTTCTCACAGGGTTCAGAGCAAGGATGATCCTGGGAAAAAAGCAATGCTGGGCTGGGTATGGTATTTCACAGCTGTAATCCCAGCTACTTGGGAGGTGGAGGTCAGGAGGATTCAGGTTCAAGGTCAGTTTAGGCAAAAAAATTAGCAAGACCCCATCTTAACCAACAAGGCAGGTATAGTGGTGATGCAACTTGTGGTCCTAGCTATGAAGTAGGAGGATCATAGTCTGAGGCTGGCTCCTGGCAAAAATGTGAGACCATGCCTGAAAAATAACTAAAGCAAAAAAAGGACTGGGGACCCGGCTCAAGTGGTAGAGGCCCAATATGGGGTGAGAGGAGAAGCAATGCTGATTGGCTGTTTGGAAAATCACCTCTCAGAGTCATATGCCCTTCACTCCTCCTCAATTCCGCCCCAGCCCCTGCTGTCTACTTGGCCCAACTCTCTGCTCAGCCTGACCCAAGGAATGGGAAAGGACCACTGATCTGCCCCCACTCCTTCCAACATCCCATGTACTCACCCCACAGGCTTTCTGACTAGTGGGGCCCAACTGGGACCCTGAGCTCCAGAGAATCAAGCTCAGCCTTCATCTCAGCACATCCTGCACCCCACCCTGGCCCCCCACCCAGGCAGATCAGCTCAACCCAGAGGATACGCAGTAAGCACAGCCGTCTTGCATAAGAAGAAGGCAGGAATGTTGTACTGCTCGAACATCAACTCTGTCAGCTTCTCTCTCTTGGCACGAGTGTTCCACTGCACAGAGAGCACAAGAGGAGACAGTCAGAAGGGAGAGGCACAGCTGTGTGTGTGTGTGTGTGTGTGTATGCATGCACATAAATACTTTCACTTATACACACCCAAACATACATATACACACCCGAACATGCACACATACTCTAAAAACACGCTACACTCACACAACGTATATATGTCCATGCTCGTACAAACACACACACACACACACGTTTTCACAGATATATATACATATACACATAACTTGTACTGGGGGGACAGAGTTCAGGTTCCTTGATTCATATATACCTGTGCAATACAGAAACTACAAAGAATTTTAAGATGGGTGCTGGTGTCTCACACCTGTAATCCCAGCTACTTGGGAGACTGAAATCAGGAGGATCACAATTTGAGGCCAGCCTGGGCAAATAGTTCTCAAGACCCCATCTCCAAAATAACCAAAGTAACATGAACTGGAGGTGGGGCTCAAGTGGTAGAGCACCTGCTTTGTGAGCATGAAACCCCCAAGGTCAAACACTAGTCCCACCAAAAAAGAATTTTAAAGATCACAGTCCAAATCTACCTAAGGAAAAGGAAGCTCAGAAAGGGATAATGACTTGTCTAAGATCACACAGAAGTTTTGATAGAGCTGGGTTTGGAGGCATAGCCCTTTAACTTTGGCTAAGTGCCCCTTATTGTGCAAGACATACTTCAGTCTCCTCCCAGTCTCCAGTTCATCCCTCCTCTCCCCATTCTAATCTCGGAGGCAAGAAAGTTGGGGAGGAGGATTTCTGGGTGGGTATATAATTTTATTCCTCCCAAGATCCCAGCAAAACTATAATAAAGGTGTAATTTAAAAAGATATAAACCTCCAGTTACCCAGAAGGTGACTGTCAGGCCAGACCAAGCAAAAAGTTAACAAGACTCCATCTCAATCAATAAGACAAGTGTGCTGGTATACTCCTGTAATTCCAGCTACTGGAAAGCATAGATAGGATGATTGAAGCCTGAGGTCAGCCCTGTACAAAAACATGAGACCCTACCCCAAAAAAATAGCTAAAGCATAAAGGGCTGGAGGCATGGCTCAAGTAGTAGAGCGCCTGCTTAGCAAGTGCAAGGCCCTATGTTCAAAAGCCACCACATTTAAAAAATCCATAAAAATACAAAAAAGAAAGTGAAAATCAAACACATTAGAAAAATACAAAACAAAAGCATAATGAAGTACATTTTCATGACCACAAAAGTGGTGGACAAAAAACCAGAAAATAATACGTGTTGACAAGGATGTGGAGAAATCAGAACCTTCTCACATTGCTGGCAAGAATGTAAAATGGTTCAGCCATCTCAGAAAATATGTGTTGGTCCCCCATAGAATACCTAGAATTACTAGCCGGGTGCCAGTGGCTCACACCTGTCATCTTAGCTACTCAGGAGGCAGAGATCAGGAGGATCAAGGTTTGAAACCAGCCCAGGCAAATAGTTCACAAGACCCTATCTTGGAAAATACCCAACACAAAACAGGGCTGATGGACTGGCTCAAGGTGTAGGCCCTGAGTTCAACCCCCAGTACTGCAAAAACAAAAAAATTTAAAACACCACCACCACCACCAACAAAGAATAGGCGAATAGGTCCCTCAAGAGCCGAGGGCGGTGGTGCATCCCTGTAATATCAGCTACAAGGGAGACAGAAGTAGGAGAACTGCTGTCAAAGACCAGTTTAGCAAAGTCATGAGACTTTATCTGAAAAACAAACTAAAAGCTTAAGGACTGGCGGTATGGGTCAAGTGGTAGAATCCCTGTGCAAGGCTGGGAGTTCAATACAAGTTACTGTGGAAGTTAGGAATACAGGAGCAGAAACTGAAAACACAGTAGAAGGAAAACAACACACACAAAAGATGGAGGAGGAGGAGGAGGAGGAGAGGAGGAGGAGGAGGAGAGGAGGAGGAGGAGGAGAGGAGGAGGAAGAGGAGGAGGAGGAGGAGGAGGAGAAGAAAACTCAATAGAAGGGTTGGAATATAAAATTGAGAGGAAGGCTGAAGGTACTTGGCTTAAGTGGTGAGGTCCTGAATTCAATTCCCAGTAACAGAAAACAAACACACAGAAAATCCTAAAGTTGTTGAAGGAACATCATCTTGGAAAGTAGAGGGAAAACAAAGAGATGGGAAACCTAAGAAAATTAGGGGGCTAGTTCAGATGATACAAAATCCAAATCATATGATTTTCCAAAAG